TCCTCAGGTGGAATGAACCTTACTTGCTGAGTATTTCCTGGTTGCTGGTTGGATTCACATTTCAAGAATTATTTTCCCCTCTGTGGAAGCCACTTAGTGGCATATTTAATTATAAATCTAGGGATCACAAAGCTTTTGATTTCCCGGAAGGACATACCACTATATCAAATAAGCTTGACATTACAGCCAAAATGGTGCTGTCCCAGAGACAACGAGATGAACTGTAAGTTTCTCTGTTTTCTGCTATTAAAATATAAAAATAGAAACCGCTTACAAAAATAAAGCAGGCATGATTATGGTGCATGGAGATAGAGGCAGAAGGATCGGAAGTTGAACGTCATCCTTGTCTACACTGGGAGTTCAAGGCCAACCTGCATCACTTGAGACCTTGTCACCAAAAGGGGGTGGGGGGTGGGGGGAGAAGTGATGTGTTTGGCAGGACACGTGTTCTTTCCTTTCCACTTTTATGTGGGTTCCAGGGATTGAACTCGGGTTGCTGGTTTGCCAGGCAAGTGTCTTCACCTACTGAGTCATTTCTCTCTCACACACTTACTCTCTCGCTCCCTTTTTTTTTGTTAAAAAAAAAATTTTTTTTTTTTGGTCTTTTTGAGACGTGGCCTTCCTACAGCCCCAGCTGGCCTGGAACTCACTATGTAAACTAAACCAGGCTGGCCTCAAACTCCTGCCTTTATCTCCTGAGTGCTGGGATTAATGTTTCCTGTTTTGGGTTTATCTGTTGTTTTTCTCGTGATAGGGTCATGATATGTATAAATGGGGAGATGTTTTAAGACCATGCATACATTTCTTCTTTCTTATCATTTGATGTCCAGTGATGATTCTTTGCTTGAACCATTCTTTATTAAAGTGGTTGCGAGAGATGTTTTTCTGACACCACTGTTATCAGTAAGCAGTTATTTCACCATGAAGCAAGAGGCTTCTCTTTCTCATTTTTATTCCCTTTTAAAATTTTTATTTATGCCGGGCGTGGTAGTGCACACCTTTAATCCCAGCACTCGGGAGGCAGATGCAGGTGGATCTCTGTGAGTTCGAGGCCAGCCTGGTCTACATAGTGAGTTCCAGGACAGCTGGGACTACAGGGAGACCCTGTCTCAAAAAGACCACAAAAACCTTTTTTTAAATTTATTATTATTACTCTGTTGGTGATAGAGACAAACACTGGGTGGATGGCAGGTGTGTGATCAGAAGACAACTTTTGGGAGCTGGTTCTCTTCAGCCTTGGTGCAGTCTATGGCTCTAACTCAGGTCCTCATGTTGACACCACAGTTGCTTCTACCTGATGAGCCATCTCACTAGTCCCTCCTTTTTGTTTGTCTTTTCCATTATTGATATGAACTCCTGAATTCTCATATTTTCAGTAGTTCATCCTTTATGCTCTTCTTACTATTTTAGTGCTTGACTTGTTCTAGATTTGGTCCACAGGAGCCCTTCAGTTGGCTTTGTGTATGCCTCTTTCATTTGGGGAAAGTACTTTCTCATTTTCTGGCCTAACCAGATGCTCTCAGGTATATTAAGTATCATTCTCTAAGAAGTTTTGGTCTTTTCTGTCGGGGAGTGTTTATATTAGACACCAGGATACTGACAATAAGGTGTATATCTTGTTCCTGGAATGTCTTTACTTCTGGGCCATGGGATAAATATAAACTAAGATTTTTTTCAATCTTGCGTCATGGACAGTTGGGGCCCAATAATTTTTTTAAAATTTATGTGTATAGATAGATGTGTGTAGGTACAGTGGTCAGAGGATAGCCGTAGGGAGTTGGTTCTCTCCTATTGTGGAATCTGGGAACCAAACTAAAGTGCTTTTACCTGTTAAGTCATCCCAGGGACCCTGGCCCAGTAATTCTTTGTGTGGGCTGTCCTATACATTTGGTTGCTTCAGTTTACTTTCTTTTGCCATGGTAAACATCATGACCAAAAGCAACTTGGGGAGGAAAGGATTTATTTCATCTTACAGGGGACAGTGCATTGTTGAGGGAAGTCAAGGCAGAGGAACCTCGGTCAGGAGCAGCAGAGTCAGGAACCATGGAGGGAATGCTGCTTACTAGCTTTTGCTTAGCTAGCTAGCTAGCTTATACAGCTCAGGAACCCTTCCTTAGGGATCATATTATCCACATTGGACTGTGCCCTCCTTCCTTAATTAACAAGAAAATGCCCCACAGACATACTCATAGGCTGGTCTGATCCAGACAATCCCACAGTTGAGACACCTTCAGATAACTCTGGACTGTATGAAGTTGACAGCTGAAGCTAACTAAGAGAATTGTATAGCAACATGTCTGTCTACTATTACCACTATGTGCCACAACAAAAAAAAAAATGTCTCTAGATATGCCTGTGACCCCAGTTGAAAACTACTAATGGGTACGTACACATTTGTTTTAGAAATCAGGCTGTAATGATTCGATTCTGCATGTTCAGATCTTTCTCACCTTCTTTCATGCCATAGTTATTTCCTTCTATAATGGTAAGCCTGATTCCCAATAGTAACATTTAACTTATTTGATCGATCAGTCCTCAAATACTTTTAGTTAGTTTTAAGATAATTTTCTTTTGCACTACTCTAAAAACTATTTTCCTGGAAAGGATTCAGATTTTATATGAATTTCTCCCTTATTCATGCTGGGCATGAACTATTCTATTCATAAGTTATTTTGATACATTTTATTACTTTCTCTATATAGATAATTGCCTTGAACCATAATTGTGTTCATATATTCTAGTTTTATGGATTTGGTATCCTGCCTCAAATCATGTTTGTTTATTTATTTATTTATTTATTTATTTATTTATTTATTTATTTATTTATTTATGTTTTTGAGACAGGGTCTCCCTGTAGACCCAGCCGGCCTGGATTCACTATGGAGACCAGGCTGGCCTCAACTCCCAGAGATCCTCCTGCTTCTGCCTCCCAAGTGCTGGAATTAAAGGCTTGTGCCACCATGCCCAGCCTTACGTTAATTTTTTTATATATGTTGAGCATTATGCAAAAGTATACACTTAAGGGGCTGAGGAGTGGTTAAGAGTGCCTGCCGGTGTTTCAGAGGACTGGAGTTGGTTCCCAGCACCCACATTGGGCAGCTTACAACCACCTAGAAGTCAGCTTCAGGGGATCCAATGCCCTCTTATGACCTATGCAGGCACCCACATACACATAACACATACAGAGATAGACATATGTACATAAATAATAAAATCTTTAAAGTTTTATACACACTTCCTTAAAATTGGTATTCTTGGGAGTTGAGAGATGACTCAGTGGTTAAGAGTACTAGTTGCTTTTGCAAGTGTATCCACGGTTTGGTTCCCAGCACACACATGGGGGCTTACAACCTTCTATAACTCCAGTTCTATGGGATTTGAAGCCCCCTTCTGGCTTCTGCTGGCATTGGTTGCATGGGTGCACTTACATACATTCAGGCAAAACATTCGTACACATAAAAGTAAATATTTCTTAAAATGTCATTTTTGTCCTGGGGATATAGCTTAGTTTGTAGAGTACTTGCCTGGAATTCACAAAGCTCTGGATTTGACCTTCAATACCATATGAAATCTGACATAGTGATAGAGGCTGAAGGATCAGAAAGTTCAAGATCATCCTAGACTAATAAACAATTCCTATTCTCCTTTTAGTCTGTTTTGCTCTGTTGTCCTTACTGCTTGTAAGAACCATTCTCATTGTTTAATAATATAAGAGACTTGGGCTAGAGAAATGGCTCAGCGGTTAAGAACACTGACCGTTCTTGCAGAAGACCCGGGTTTGAATCCCCGCACCTATCTGGCAGCTAACAACTGTAACTCCAGTTCCAGGGGATCTGATAGCCTCTTCTGTCCTCTGCGGGCATTGCATGACACAGGTGCACATACTTACATGCAGGCATAATGCTCATACACATAAAATAAAAATAATAAATAAAATATTTTTTTAAAAATATAAGAGGTTTGTATATTTTCTTATTTGTCCCTTTTTAAAATAAAAGAACATATTGTATCTGCCTTAGGGGGCCACAGAATGTTAGATATTGAACATGGGGGCTTCTAGGCAAGCACTCTACTACTAGGCTTTATCTTTTTACCTTTTTTTCTTCTTTTTTTTCAAATTTTAAGACAGTGTCTCACTAAGTTGCTCAAGCTGGCCTTGAACTCAACTCTGCATCCCAAGCAACTCTTAATTCGCAATCCTTGTGCCTTAGCCTCCAAACATAGACCTACGCCACTAAACTTGGCTTGTGTGCACTTTTGTTTTTTGTACTTTTGCACTTTTGTTTTTTCATTTAACATGTTCTAGAACTATTCCATATCAGTTCACAGAGATTGTCCTTGTTTTTCAAGAACGCCTATATACACAGCACATAGTACTTCAGTGTATACCTTAGTTTTTTTCAACTAGTTTCCCATGTTTGGGAACATTACAAATAATATAACGAATAGCCCTTGTGTATGTACTTTTGTATTCAAAGTATATCTTGAGTTTTGTTGGGTGTTTGTGCGTGTGTGTGTGTGTGTTTTGAGGCAGGGTCACAGGCTGGCTTCCAGCTAACAATCCTCCTGCCTCAAGCTCTTGAATTTTCTTGTTTTATTTGTTCTTTTGAGGGACACATTATTCTAAGCTGTTCGTTCTTAAACTCATATATGTAGCTGAGGATGACCTTGACCTTCTCATCCTCCTCTTCACATGCCAGATGCAGTGCTGGGATTACAGGCATGTGCCACTATGCCTGATTTATGCTGTGCTGGAGCTCAAACCCAAGTCTTTATGTATACTAGGAAAACAGTCTACTAACTTAACTTATCTCTAGCCCTACCAAGTGTTTTTTAATCATTCTTAATTTTGAGTCAGTTCAGACCTTTTTCTAACCCCATAATCAGGGCATTTAAACATTATAGCCACATTGCTTTGCATGCAAACCAAAAAAAAATTTAAGTTATTTGTATATATGTGTTGTCTGTATATGATTGTGTGCAGTGCCCATGGAGGCCAGAAAGGGGGAAGGGATTACATCCCTTGGAGCTGGAGTTAATAGACCAGTTGTAAGCTGCCTAACATGGGTGCTGGGAACCAAACTCAGGTCTTCTGCAAGAACAGTATGTGTTCTTAACCACTGAGCTATCTCTTCAGTTCCTAAAACTTTTAAAGAAAAGAAAAATCAATAAGTGAAAAAGAAAACCATTATGACCCAAAACAGAGTTTTTAATTTGGGCAGA